AAAAAAAAATCTTTTAGCTACATATAAAAGTTAAATATATTGATAATAATATAACTCAGTGTATTATTTTTACCATGTCTAAATAAAAAATTTAAAAAGAAAAAAACATGCTTACATGTTACTGCACAAGATTTTACGCAAATTTTTGTATAAAGTAGGTTGAGATATTTCCAACCTGATACTTTATATAAAATTTTGCAGAAAATCTTGTATACTGGTAATAGGATTTAAAGAATATTTCAAAATTCCCGCTATGTGGCATACCGCGCCATCTACGTAGGTTTTACATTAAGAGCGAGAGAGTAAAGTGATATAGCTCTGTCTCTTGAACTACAATTACACGTTCACTTGGTCATCTGGTTGGTAATCTGTGCTCAAATTACACTCGACTTGTCACATGGAATGTGTGGAATGGCGCTATGTTGCAGCCAGAGATACAAGAAAAACGTCCCAAAGCTCGTTCCGTGGTCCACTGGCCTTGTGAAATTTGAACGAATACCATCTATATATTTTTTGTTAATGTGATCGAATAGTGGAAAGTTTAATTATATTTTCAATTATAATCAGGTCAACTTTATCTTTTTTGTCACTTTCCATTTTGTTTTATAAATAAATTTTTTTATGAAATGTGTAACAATTTTCAATAAACGCGCGAAATCAATTTTAAGAATCTTGTCACGAGTTGGAATGGCACAAGACCGTAAGCAAATAGACCTTATTGCCACTATTGTGTCACATGTATAAAAATATATAGATAGGCGTTTTTACACGACCCACGTTATGGCACGCGTACCATGGCACGGGCCATGGGACTGCTGCGTGTGGAATATATCGTATAATCTTTATATTCATCTAAAAAATGAGGTATCTAAGATGCTCCCATCTGTCATCTAATTCAGTGTGAAGAAGAAGAAGAAGAAGAGAAATATAAATGTGTTTATGGAATCGTTTTATTGTTTTTAACAGTCTCGAAAGTTTAGAATTCCTTATAAGAAACACAATAAATATGGAAGCAACAATCTTGGAAGAATCATTTTGTAGGTTGTGCCTAAATACTATAAGGGATTCAAATTGCCAGGTGATTGAAGAAGTCATAAGAGATGTTCTAAGAATTGTTTTGCCGGTTGTGGTAAGATCAATTCAACAAGATTTCTTTTATGTCCGTAGTATAGCTCATTTATACTTAATTAAAAATCTGTTTCAGAATTTGGAGGAAAAAGTTAAACATTTCATGTGTAAAACATGTTCCGTAAAATTATTTGCTGCTTTTAATTTTAAGGCAATATGTATGGATACTGAGGATTTAATATTTCCTCATATTAACGCTAGTGAAATGTCGGCGATTGATTTAAAGGAAGTTTATCTAAAAGAGAAGGGAAATATTCAGTTAATCGATGTATCGGAAGATCGGAGAATATGTCGATTATGTTTTCAGCCGGTAACTTACCGATTTGTGTCACTAAATGAAGTGGATGTTGACATAATCGATACATATATACCACAGGTTGTAAGTTACATTTAAAAGTATTCCTTGGAAAGATATTTGTATGGGCCAGAAAACAATCTTTTACTTGTTTATTTGTCGTATAAATCATTGAGACTTGTTCTTTTCAACTTTACATTGAATCACAATTAATTAACACCAGTTTTTTTTTTATTCTAGAATATCAGTGCTACCAGGGATCCTATTATATGCGCAGCATGCTTTGATTCGCTTCGTACCCATGGCAGTTTTTTAAAGAACTGCCTTGATGCACATGAGAAATACACAAACGTCTATCAACATTCTTACCTTAAATCCGAGGAAATTGAAATAAAACTAGATCATCAGGACAGGTAACAAAATGACAATAAATTTTGTATTTTTATAATTTATTGTACTTTTCTTTGGGTAAGATCCGCATCATTCGTATAAATCATACGGACCTCTAGTGGGAATCGATTAATGCGGATCCCGAAGCAAAAATAATTTCGTATGTTCGTATCAAACCATAAAACTTTCAACCAGCTCCGTCTCTATAAGTGCTTTTCCGAACAATACCGCAAAATCTTATTTAGAACCCTACGTGACCCTAAGATAACCCTTTAGGGTCACTTTGACCCATGGGATAAAGACGTATCTGAACGTACAAATCCAAGTTGGCCTTCTAATCGCGTCTACGATTGACTTGGGACCCCACAGAATCCTACAACTTTTGCCTAAAAGGTTTTTCCTGAAAGTGCTTCCCTAAGAACCTATTTCAATCGTTATTTAAAAAGGGACACCGTGTATGATTAATAATTTAGAATTTTTATTTGTGATTTTTTGTAAAATGAATATTTTGGTATCACCTGTAACCCCTTAAAATTACCACCTCTTTGGAAAATACTCTATGTTTACAATTTTTTCAGCGACCCCATACCGCAGACCTCCGATAATGAACCATCGGAGGAGAGTGACTGTAGAGATGCAGAAGGGGATGAATGTAAAGCTGAGAATAAGGCAGCGAACAAATGTAATACGAAATCCAAGAAGGAGCGCAAAGTATCGTACAAATGCGATAAATGTATTTACGAAACTGAAATCGAGAGGTGTTCTACGTCACATCATGCGAGACACAAAAATGATTCGGTAGTGTATAAATGTGAATCGTGTAAGTTTGAAACTAAAAATAAGACATTATTTCAGAGGCACCTGTTAAGGCATAAAAACATTTCAAAAATACGTATGCACCAGTACGAATCATGTAATTACAAGAAAAAATGCAGATCTAACCTTACGGAGCATCAGGTGGAACACAAAGCACAATTGTACAAGTGCAACTTCTGTGATTTCAAAACGAAATGGAGGACCAGTTTTAATAGTCATTATGTGAAACACAAAGACTCAAACAAATGTGATGAATACGATTATAAAACTGAATGCAAGTCATTGCCGCATAAGGACACTTCACAGCTGCCTATTTATAAATGCAATGGTTGCAACTACGAATCATTGAATAAAAGTAATTTCACCAAACATCAGTTGGTGCATAAAGATCCTTTGCAGATTCAAATGTACAATTGTACTGACTGCGATTACAAAACTAAATACAAGAATTATATCAAACTGCATCAACTGAAGCACAAAGATCGCGCACAGGTTCAAATGTACAAGTGTAAAGACTGCGATTTCGAAACTAAATACAAAAGTTGTGTCAAACAGCATCAGCTGATGCATGAAGATCCTTTGCAAATTCAAATGTACAATTGTACTCACTGCGATTACAAAACTAAACACAAGAATTATATCAAATGGCATCAACTGAAGCACAAAGATCCTTCACAGGTTCAAATGTACAAGTGTAAAGACTGTGATTATGAAACTAAATACAAATGTTCTATCAAAAATCATCAACTGATGCATAAAGATCCTTTGCAGATTCAAATGTACAATTGTACTCATTGCGATTACAAAACTAAATACAAGGATAACATGAGAAATCACCAACTGAAACATAAAGATCCTTCGCAGGTTCAAATGTACAAGTGTTATCACTGCGATTATGCAACTAAATACAAGAATGGTATCAAATGGCATCAACTGAAGCACAAAGATCCTTCACAGGTTCAAATGTACAAGTGTAAAGACTGTGATTATGAAACTAAATACAAAGGTAATATCAATAATCACCATCTGAAACATAAAGATGACTGTGATTACAAAACTAGATACGACAGTCAGTTGAAACAGCATCAACTGAAACATAAAAGTCCTTCGGCAGTTCAGATGTATAAGTGTAACGATTGCGATTACGAAACTAAATACAAGAGTACTATGAAAAAACACCAACTGAAACACAAAGATCCTTCGCAGGTTCAAACGTACAGGTGTAATGACTGTGATTTCGAAACTAAATACAAGAGTTGTGTCAAAAAGCACCAACTGAAACATAAAGATCCTTCTCAGGTTGAAACGTACAAATGTAATGACTGCGATTTCAAAACTAAATACAAGAGTTATATCAAACGGCATCAGCTGAAACATAAAGATAAGGCGCACCGACTGTGATTATGAATCCAATTGCAGGAGTTGTATAAAATATCACATGCTGAAGCATAGAGAACCTTCACGAGTGTAAATGTTCGGGTGAGTATGTATGAGCATGCGAAGGTATGTCGCAGGAAATGCATCAATGTGATTCTGAAACTAAGCATAAGAAGTCTCTAAGGAGATATCTGTTGCTGCACAAAAAATATCTGTAGGTGTGAAGTATGGCCCATTAAAACGCAAAATCCAGTCAAAAATGAAGTTATTTAAGGGACCGACCATATCATATGTGAATATGAAGTAGAATGTAAAGCCTGTTGTGAAAAACATCAGTTCAAACAAAAACTCTCTCCTGAAACAGAAAGAGACAAGTGACTTTGGACTAGTGATTTTGTAACAATGCATTAAAATGAATACTTTGTAATATACACCTGCTTTTTTATGTTTAAAAATATATAGTTTTCATTACCAATATTCAGAGTGAATCTTAAATGTGTACATGTGTATTCTAAACAACGAGACGGTTTATTATGTAGAACATGCAGTTAATAGTTTTTTGTTCAAAAAAAAAAAAAAAAATTAGGAACAAAATAAATATGCATTGTCTTTCTTAATAGAAAACTTTGCTGTGGTATTTACACGTTGAGAGATCAACTAGGCGGTGTTGCCGATGTCGTATAGACTTGTAAACTCAAATTTTTAATGAAAAGAAGAAATAAATAAGCATCGTTTTAGTTAGATAGTACGTCAGAAGTTTTGAAATATCTTTATAAAAAAAAGCCTCTTTTGCTTGCAATTCTGATGCATGGGTGATTTTTGGCAATATTATATGTTCCGTTTTTCACTTCTAGCTTGGAAACACAGTATTCGATTGTCCACATGATTTTCGAGACAAACGTTGCGGTCAACCAGAAAGCAGTGCCTCGAAAATTATTATGTACCTGGTATCGGGAAGTTTTTTATTTTTAAATTATTGTACAAAATGAATTCACCCTTCCAGCCTGATATTCATTATTTGTCCTGTTATTATGTCGAGTATATGTCGTGTATATGTGTTATTATGTCGATATTATGTTATTATGCCGAGTTTTCCAAAGTTGAGAAGATTGAAAATTTTTAAATATATTATTTATTTTATCCATCAATAAGTTTTTGATTTCTTTTATTTTTTTTCAGTGGATAATTTTCCCTTGCATTTGACTACTTTTAAGTACTTACTAGAGACTTTTATAAATCCGTCAAGCTTGAAACATAGAATACGATTTTGTATATATTAAATAAGACATGAAAATATGAGAGCTGTAATTTAAGAACTTAATTCTGGAATAAACCACAATTATTTGTACGAAAATAAAACCAAGGAAGACGTATTGTTAAATCATATGTATTAACCTAATATTATTCAAAAGAATTACATACAATGTGAAACTTAATTTTAATCATTTCAGCAATTTCGATTAAAATTCTGACAAATATGAAAATAATATAGTAAAGGCTTATTTCTAAAAATTGGATGTTTTGAAGTTAGTAAGTCAGTTACTGCGTCAATCGTGATCTTGTTTAAAATATCTTTTTCAGAGTTCATAAGTATAAAGGCTTCTAATTTTTTTTGTCCGATGGAATTTCGCAACCCATTTTTGATAAATTTTAAAATACTAAACGATCGCTCACAAGCCATCTGCGTAAAAGAAAGACATGAGATATACCAAGGACATTTAAATAAAGGGGACTTATTTATTTACATTTCTAGAAGAAGCCTAATCTATTCACAGTCTAATTGTATCATTGTTGTCAGCTGTATAATTATACTGGAAATGTACTTAATATTTTTATCGCAATTTTCATCACAATTGTGAAAATTATTATTATAGGATAGTATTATTAAGTTATGCATACAATATTGTTAAATTCTGTACATATTAAACTATTTTTCATTTTTCATATTTGCCATGTTTGAAGACTTGGCAACTACGCAATAATTTGTAGCGTGTTCCTCGTTCGTTCTGCCGTGGTTGGCAGAATATGGCGTCTCTTGTTAGAAAATAGTTGTGATTTTAGTAAGTGAAACGTGATTAGTGTTTATACATGTATTTTGGATAAACTTTTAAGGTGTGAATATGGTTAGACAGTGCAGAATTTGTAAGAAATTGGATTATAAACATCCACATCAGCTATCCTTCCACAGGTAAG